GGCTCTTCCAGGTTTTGGACGTAAAGCAGCACAGCCACAGCTGGCAGCAGCTCTTGCAGAACGTGTGCGCCGACGAGTGCCGCGACCTCCTAAGAGCCATGAGCGGACCCGATTTCATGCAGTCTGCCATCAGCTCTGCCTTTGGCTTTGACCGTACTGCGGGTGTACCGGAGCAGTGTGCCGAACAGGTAGTGCAAAAGGTCGAGGCCGAAGTCCTGACCTGTTGCGCGGAGGAGTGCGGCTGGGACGAGCAGCGGTGTCAGCTGTGGCCTTTTATGAATGCTTCGCAGCAAGAAGACTGGAATGCGCGGTGCTGTGTGGAGGGCGCGATGCTCAAGGGCTCCAGCCGGGAACGCCTCTGCAACAGCGTGCAGCCCGGCGCCGTGCTCGAGGAGCTGGAGAAAAAGCACATCGATCCAGTGCCCAAGACCGAGCAAGATGCCGTGCTGGTCGGCATGTCTCTGAAAAAGGCCAAGCCTCATCAGATCACATCCTGGCTCGAGGCTGCGTCGGGGCCTCCGCCTGCTCAGTGCGACAAGCAAACTGGCGTGCAATATTGCAAGAATCCAGTGATGAACAAGAACTTCCTTGAGCATTGCGAGAAGCTTAATGAAGGCTGGCAGTTCCTCGAGTCGGCCAAGCACTCAAAGCTCAGGACACATGCCGATGCCGTGGAGACAATCGATGTCAGTGACTGTGGCAACAAGCTGTCGCAGCCTGACGTCGACTCCGTGTCCTGGCTCGGCTCACAAACAGCTTGCTACATCATCAAGAAGCGGGAAGAGCACAAAGTCGCCGTCCTGGACGCTTACAAGGCTGTAAAGAAGAAGGTGAGCGATTTGCCAAAAGGAGTTCGCGATACTGCGCTCTTTAAGCGGAAGTAAAAAGCGGAAGCAGTAGCGGTAGTGATGAGAGCTCAGACACAGCGAGAGCGAGACCCTCCCAGGCAGCATCTCGCTCTCTGGAGCTGCCTCGAACTGCAAAGTTTCGCTGTAGAGCTA